TCTTCAGGCAGTCCTCTTCATAAATCTCACTGGAACGGCACCAAACAAAAGTTCCAGCATCATCACCTTGTCCAATGCAGATTCTTGACTCATCACTGAAGATAACTTTCATCCAGTCATCCACAGTCCATGATTGCCTCTCCTTAGCCCATTGCAGTCTTGTTCTTTTTTGTTTAGGTGTCAATGATGGTTTTCTTTTAGCTTTCCTGTATTGAAATCCCATTTCCTTTAGGCCATTTCTTAAGGTTCGGTCACATACATTGGCTCCAGCTTCCTCCCATTTATGCTTCATCTGTTTAGCTGTACTTTTTCAGTTTTCAAGACAAATGGCCTTAAGTTGTTTGTCTTGATGCTTTGATGTCTTTCTTGGTCTACCAGTACGCTTGGCTTTAACAACCATTCCATGCTGTTTGTATTTGGTCCATATCTTGGATACAGCTGACTGTGAACAGCCCACATCTTTAGCAACCATGCGTGAAGAGTTACCTTCTTCAAGAAGTTTCACAATCCTCTCTTTTTTTTTCAAGAAACATTTCTGTTGTTGGAGCCATGGTTCCTGCCACTCCACTTTGTCCAGCAGCCCTCGAAGGTGTCATGACTGCAGGTGTTTTTAACTGCAGACTAACGAGCAGATCTAATCTGAGGCAGGTGTCCATTTAGGGAGAGGAACTATATACTGGGTGTGTCCTTATTTTCTACCTCCAATTTGAGTGATTCCATACTTTTTTCCTGAGAGTTGAGTGATTCCATATTTTTTTTCCCTGTGCTTGGTCAATAAAAGTAACATTCTCTGACTTCCACAATGTTTTCTCTTCATTTCTTTGAGTGTTCCTGAAAACCAACAAGTTGCACGTTGGAATGACCTTATTATTGTATCATGTTTTTGATCTGAGTTTGTTTTACAGAAGGAAATGTCTGAATGAGTGCTCATCCGGTGATTCCGTACTTTTTGCCAGGGGTTGTACAAGAGACACAGAGCCAGAGTATACCAGAGCTAGAATATACAAAAGCCACAGTATACAGGAGTCTGAGTATGCAGAGCCACAGTATACAGGAAACAAAGTTTACAAAAGCAGAAATATAACAAAGCTCTAGGTTTAAATTAAACCTAAAATTAAACCATTTAATATAACCAGCAATCCTATCTTACTCTGACCTTTATAAACTTTTTTTTTACCTATTAGGCATCAATGTGAACATTTTTCACAATGTAGTGAATTTATCTCGGTCATGTTTTTTTTCTTATTTATCTTAAACCTGGAGGAGTTTTTGAGACAAAAAAAAAAAAGATTAGTGGATACAGTGGATTCATTTCAGGCTACAACTCCTGAATTCCCCGAAGGACTCATTTAATAATTTTATTCATCACTTTTGCAAGTCAAACAGCTCAGTTTAGAATAATTAGTTTGAAACTATGCCAGTTTGTTGAAGCCCGAGGACGAGCAGTCAGGTTGAACCATGTTCATCTGCAAAGAACCTTTGCCCTTTGTTCTGCACTCATGTTTGTGATCAACTGCTACTGTATTCATAGTAAAACAGAACTGAGTGGAATCCTTCTTTTGTTTGTAAATACAAACAGCCATTGTATTTAACTGGCTGTGATCCTCCTCCTCGGCTCCTCTGAGCTTYATCTCTCCGTCTGAATGTTTGGGTTCAGCACCCTGCAGTGATCAGAGCCTGCAGTTACTGGTGGTCACCTGCAGAGGGTGCAGCAGCTGCATGTGAAGCTCAGTTTTATTTTTTTAATTCTCTCACAGTAAAAGGATGATTTACTGGTTACTGGTCTGAAATGTGACGCTGAGGTTAAATTTAAATGATTGTAAGTAAATTATTGCTGCTGTGTTCATGTTGACAGCAGTTTATTACACCGGTTTGGTCCGGATCTGAGGGTTTTAACGAGCCTCTAAGTCTTAAACGCAGCACTTCAGTCCACTGATTACCGCCTTTTATTCTGACGAAGGAAAATAAAAAGTTTAACATGGCCCTCTGCTCTTCATTATGAGGATGGTCCCATAAAGCAGAGTCCTGACAAGGTGTCCCCCAAATGTCCCAAATTCTCTGTGTTTAATTAAATGTCCTTTGAGTGTCCCCAGAAGAAAGATGTCTGAGGACAAACAGAAGATGTCTGATGTTTATGTCTGCTTCTGATTATCCAGTGTCTTCTTGATAAACAGTCAAAGACCCTCCAACCGTGGACGCTTTTGACTTCCCTGTAAACCAGAAGGAGGACACTCTCCCCGGAACCAAGGAGATGACATCTTCTTCAGTGCCACCCCTGAATGTCAACTCGTTAGACTTTTGTCTGATTAGAGGGACATTTAGCTGCTTCAGAACATTTGAACATTTATCTGGAGATGAGTCCATGCTGAAGGCAGGGCTATCTGCTAGGCTGTATCTGGAGAATAACCAGAGACCTCTTTCAGAACAGATTCTCTAATTTTGCAAGATTTTTATCTGAAGTCAGAACTTTAAACCAATAATTTGTCTGAATGAAGGATTTTCCTGCAGCATGAAAATCAGAACTGACCCAGAGAGCTGGTCTCTGAAGTGACCTCCATCAAGACCATTGGTCCATCAGGAGTGACCACCATTGGGACCCTTTTTCCATCAGAGGTAGGACCTCCATCAGGAACCTCAATCCATCGGTGGGGTGACTTCCCATCAAGACCCTGGATTCATAAGAAGAGTGTCCTTCAACAGGACCCTCAGTCCATCTGAGAAGAGATCTTCATTGGGACCCTTGGTTTATCAGAGGGTGACCTCCATCAAGACCCTCAGTCCATCTGAGAAAATACCTCCTTCGGGACCCTTGGTTCATCAGTGGAGAGGCCCYTTTCAGGAACTCGGTCCATCAGGTAAGAGACCACTTTTGGGAACCTCGGCCCATTAAAGGAGTGACCTTCATAAAGACCTTGGTCCATGAGAAGAGTRACCACTTTCAGGACCCTTAGCGGTCTCTCCTCTGATGAGCCATCAGGATCCTCGGTCCATCAGAGGAGGAACTATCTTCCGGACCCTTGGTTCATCAGAAGAAGTGAGATTCTCAGTCCATCTGAGAAGTGACTTCCATTGTGAACCTCGGTCCACCTACTGTCAGAGCAGGGAATCATGGTCTTTATGGACCAAGGTTGGGACCACAGCTCGGAGGTGTAGGTGTCACGGAGGAGAGGGAGGTATGTTTTTTCCCTGGACTTTACCACAGATGAGATGGATTTGAAGGTTCTGCTTGGTTCTGACTGAACTGGGTTGGACAGCAGAGGTGACTGTTCTTCTCAGGATGATGTTCCTCCTGACAACATCTCTTCAGAACCATCTCCCAGYATCCTCCTCTGCCACACCAACCCTTCACTACATCCATCAACCTTTCACCACTGCAACCAAGAAGGGAGTTAGATCCCTCCCATCTGCCACTCATACTGCACATCTCACCTGTCCTACCYTACCCTCAGAGCCTCCACATCTGGATCAGGTGTTTAATGGATCCAACATGTGGCGGTGATCAGTGAATTATCTGGTGTGGAGGGGGAGGAGGAGGTCTGGATGACCGTTCACAGGAACATTATTGCTGCTTGTTGCTGCCACCCCCTCTCCCCC